TTGAAGATTATTTTTCTTCAGTTCTTCATTTACATATTCTTCATTTTGCAGTTCACATTCCCACATTACTCCCTCCATAATGTTCAATGAATTCAGGTTAACTCATCAATGATTTAAAGTCCAAGGAATGTAACGCTATTAATAGATCAGGAGCGTCATTACTACCAAATTATTACAATACAAAAACTTAAGTATTTATTTTATATAGTATATTATTATTTAAGTCATATTTTATTATTTAGTTTTTAAAACTGTAATGCTTTACAGTATCAACTTCTGATATTTCTTTAGTGATGTTATAAACTATACTTTCTATTTGATTATTCATATTTGAATTACATTTTGTATAGTATTTAATTCGAATATCAGCATTTTTCCAATGTTGCGATGTCGGAATTTCTCTTAATTTGTTAAGGTCATATACTTCAATTTTTATCATGAGATCAGACTCTTCACCGTCATTTTTATTAGTTGATATATAATTAATAGTGCCTTCATTTATAGATCGACCAGCAGTTGAAGATAATATCACTTTTTTCCTTTTCTGTTTTGGTTCTTGTACAAACAAATCATCTAAAAGTTCTTTTTATGCTTTATAATAGATGGAGACGTCTCGTCTTCTTCAGATAATGAAGTATAGTAGTTATAGGGTTTAAAACAATTTTCAACATCTTTCAGATTGTATGTTCCCTGAAACATACTATTCAATAAATATTCAAACAAATTTATACACACGCTTAAGAATTTTAACCTTAAATAGTTTAAATATTAAACTTACCTCCATTGTATATTATTTCAAACTTTTAACCACTTCAACTTTGTCAAACTTAGAGCACAATACTAAATCTTTCTACAAGTATCGGGTTATATAGACTGGTAATGGATATCGTTATCTAGTTACGATATTCAGCTCGACTGCATGTTTGAACAAGTATGCATACCAATTAGTAAAATGTGGATAATAAATACAAAGGGCACTCTAATACCCTTTGCAATCTTAATAGTCAAAGCATTTTTAAAATATTTTTGAAATAGATAAGAACAGAAATGTGTGTAGTAGTTAAGCGATTACATGTAAATATTATAATATTAAAATATTTATAAACGAATATGACACGGTTTTTATTTAGCTTCATTACTTTTTTGAAGTATATTTTAGGACAGGTTCCTAAGAGATGTATTATAGGTTTTGTGAATAATACAGCATTCAACGGTAGTTATGTTAAAAATCCTTTCAACTTTGAAAATTTTGGTATTTGCTCATTTAGCCTATATATAGATGGTCAACAGATACCTTCAAAATCGTTACAACCATCATTTCCAAACGATGTATTTACTAGCGCATACCACACCCTGTACTCAGGCACCGGTATACATTTTCTTAACGAAGGTAATGGAATATCGAGGGAGCAATATTCAAATGGATACTGTTTACTAGCTTTTGATTTAACACCTGACTTGTCGGCTAACTCTAATGTGCATTGGAATCTTGTACGCCATGGTAGTGTAAGAATGGAAGTAAGATTCGAGAGCGCATTGACTGAAACAATTAACTGTGTAGTTTACGCAGAGTTTTCAAATATTATAGAAATAGATAAGAACAGAAATGTATGTGTGGATTATAGTAGTTAAGCAATCACTTATGTAATTATTATGATATTAAGAATAATAAAATATAATGTAATGGAATATGACATGGTTTTTATTTACCTTTTATTACTTTTTTTTACAAAGAGACTCATTACTTATGTTGAGATCATATTATGTGTGTTTAAATACATTGGTACAAATATGAATTGATAGTAATAAATGTAGTCAGTAAAAGAGTGAAAGAGTAGGGGAGTAAACGCGTATTAAAGTATGAACACACTAGAAGTGCAAATGAGTCTTCGTAGAATACATCCCAGCCTCCAGAGCAACGTATATCCTTCAAATCGATTGCCGATGTATGCTCAGGTGCCAGCACTTATCATATGCAATCTTGACCCTGATTCACAGCCGGGGTCTCATTGGGTGGCTATTCATATAAACGTCGAAAGAGTTGGCGAATACTTTGATTCGTTTGGATGTAAAACCTATTGAAGCAATAGAAGGATTTTTAAGGAGGAATTGTTGCATGTGGAGATACAATAGCCTTACGGTTCAGGATTACCTATCGGCGGTGTGCGGAGAGTACTGTTTGGTATACATATATTACAAGTTCAGGGGGATGAGATTAGAAGACTTCCTTAGAAATTTTACGTGTGACTCAGAGAACAATGATACGGTGCTAGTAAATTTGTATAGAAATATAATGGACATATAAATAAAAGAATAATACCTGGAATAAAAAATGTTTTATTTAAATATGTAACCCTTACATCTAATTTTATTATAGATAATGGTGTTAATGTAGGTATATTTATTGTTGTTTGCTTAGACCCGTAGGTTAGGTTAGATATAGTTTATTCTATTTTTCTTTTAGAGCCATAGATCGGGTTAGTGAATGTAGGAAAGTAGATAACGATGCATTCGTACTGAGTCATTAAGTAATTAGATAATGAGTGGGGATTTCGTGCAGGAAATAGTAACTGATAAGGTGGTGATTAGTAAGTAATTAGCAAGGTTTTGGGAAAGCTATCTCTGGAACGGTTAGAGCTATCACTTCAGGAGTGAGTGCATTCGACTCCACACGTCCTGTTTAGTGGGGTTAGAGTACAAACTTTTTTTTTTTTTTTTTTTTTTTTTAGCGGGCGCTGCCTCCGAAACAGCTTTTTTTACCGAAGCAGTGGGTGAGGCAGTGCCCGGGAATCCATACTACTCTCGTGAAATAGATCGAACATCGAGGGTGTACGACCGCAAGACCAAAATAAATGGAAAGTGTTGATTGATTGTTGCTCTTGACACCTGTATTGAGTCATGCTTCGGCAACAGTCACTTAGTCACTAATTACCAATAGTAATGCTAATCTATATTAAGGTTTTGATACATAGGATTCGTACACATTTTATTTTAAACATAAATTTCCTCCTCCGTAAACCTCCTCTATCAGGTTTTTTAAGGTAAAAAGTACACTTATCTTGAATGAATCTGGTGATGACAGCTAAAACATAACTTGAATACATCGATGTTGGACGTTAGGCCTAATTTGCGCAAAGTAAAAACTAAAAAACAAATTCGTCTTGTAGTATTTGTGTCCCTAACACGTACATGAAGACTTATTTATGGACCATCAATAATATCATATCATAATATACTCAAAAGAAACATCGGTTCAGCGTGCGACTCTCATTCCTGAGATGCGAATGCCGGCATTTAACACTCGTGAGGAAACTGACTTGCCTTAGACCCAAAAAGTCGACTGCGTTTGCCAGGTACAGCAGAACAGAGAAGAATTGATTACCTACTTAAATATTAGAAACAACAAATGACCACGAAACGGATACGGAAATCTGAGCCTTAGACCTAAAAGGTTGTAGCGTCATTGGCTTTTTTAAACGTGGTTTATTGGGTACCTGGCTTAGGGTTGTATTTAGTAAAGTAGCCAGAAATTGCAAAATCAGATGTCAGATATTATTAGATCTATAAAAAGAAACAAATTTGCACGTCAAATGAATCCTCCTAGGATTTAATCCGTAGCAACTATAATAAGTCACATTATATATAGTTAAAGTTTGCCTAAAATAAAGCAATTATTAGTTATAACAATAAGATTTATATTTTATATTAGGATTTCATAGCCATGTGAATGCTGAGGCAATCCAACTTCTTGACACGACAGGAATAAGACCATCGACTCATTGGTCTAGTGCTTAGTACCCCTGACTGCGAATCCATGGGTCCCGGGTTCGATCCCCGGCTGAGACGAACATCGATGTGATGAGCATTTGGTGTTGTGCTTAGGTTTGGGTGTTTAAATATGTATTTATATGTCTATCTATCTATAATATGTATGTATATCCGTTGCCTAGTACCCATAACACAAGCTTCACCAGCTTAGCATGGGACTAGGTCAATTGGTGTGAATTGTCTTTAAAAAAAAACGCCTAAAGAGAACTGAACCTTTTGTGTTAATAAGCCTAGTGTAGTGAATATTTAAGTGCAAGTGCGGTATCACGGACACATGAACATAGTGTCAAAATAGTATATCTTGCCCATTCTTCTCCACACGAAACTACCTTTTGGAAGGGGCAACTAGAATCTTCTTTATATTTTATTAGACGTTCAAAGATGTCATTTTAGGTGGTCTAATTGAAATAAATAATTTGACTTTGACTTTATATAACTCTAAGACTGTTAATGAACATTACCTTAGTTTAAGCTGTTCATTAGTATTGTAGAAAATTAGGTCAAAATAATATTACTTATTAGCCATAATTAATTGAAAGGCTAGATTGTAATTCATGTCAAGTCGCACTCTTTTTTTGTGAACTTTATTGAAAGAAAAAAAAATATTAGGATTCGTCATATGTTACGTGTATTCGTATGTTATTGTGACAAGACCTCAATCTGTCTAATCTTGAACGCATAACAGATTTTATTAAGGCCATGGCCCATCATACATTATAAAGCTTTAAAATTATTAATTTAGTATTTGGCATCACTTGAGCAAACACAAATCATCGCGTTTATAAATAGAATGACGTTCGCACTCGAAAATTTCGAGCAAAGTTTACTTGCATTTAGCAAAATGACAATAAATTGTGTTTGAAATAAAACAAAGCATTTGGAAAAAGATATTATTTAAATAAAGTAAAAAATATTTACAAAAAACGATTAAAGTCTTAGTTAGGTACACGTTAGATTTTTTATTGTAAATATTCCATTTTTAATAATGTAAAGACCATATAGTAAAATTTAACAACAAATACAGATAACAAAACTAGAAGCTTTAGTTTATTCTTAAACAATATTTTATAATTAAAAAACGTCCAAACTTCGTTGCTGTCCCTATACTAACTGAATAGCAAGATTGTAAAAAATACTGATTTTTTGAATTTTAAAATAGACTTGGTACATATTTACATATGACGAGTATTGCCAAATGAACCCAAACCAGCTTGAGAAGCACCTTTGTTGAAACCCATTTGAAGGTTCAATTCTGCGTTATGGGCTCTTAGTTGTTCTTCTGTAAATGAGCGCTCATTCTTATCGGCCATCTTTGGACCCAGTTGGGGACCGGTGAATTCGGGGTGCTTTTGTGTCTGTAAAGGAGAGAATAGTTAAAGCTTCTGTGAGGCCGTGTGTAATTATAATATTTGGAAAGTAACTTACAATCCTGCCCAATGCGTAAAGGCATAATGTGACTTGCGGAATGTTACGCCTCTCAAACAAATCAGCTGTTTGGAAAATTTCTTCCTCAGGTACTCCGTACTTTTTAATCGCAGCTTGGAACCTTAAAAATTATAAACATGAGTATAGTCTTACCAATTTAATTACGTTGAACCTTAGTATTCAATATTCAATAGTAAAAATACCTTTGGATATTTTCCATTAGCTGGAAGTTTGTGCCCTTTTCCTGGATTTTCTTAACCGATCCCGGTGACAATTTATTCGCTAGCTTGCACAGGACAATACCATCCCTAAGGACGTCCTCGTATGCGCCATTTGGCAAGGGTTCTCCAAGCACAGCCGAGATCCAGTTGAGAACTTCTTGCTCCTGATCCTTGTTCCTGGGCTGTAAATATAAATTCTTGTATTACGCTATAAAACACTCTTGAACACTGGCCATAAAATATTCGCTCCAGTGCCAAGTCGTTTGGTAAACTCGAATTCCAGAATCATCTCTGAAAATACATTTCGTTACGAAAACATACAACTCTTATCTTGTTGTGATGTCTGGCACATTTGGGTAACAGCAGATGGTGCAATTTATTTTACTTACCGTATCGCAAATGGATCCGATTTTAAATGCTAAATATAGGTAATCAGTTAATAAATGTTTCAAAACAACAATAATGTAAACAAAGATAATTACTGCTTCATAAAAAATATACAATATCGATTTAATAAATTAGTAATAATAACTTTTATAAAATAATGTAAAAGAAGAAGATCTTACAGCCATTTTAAGGTCACCGAACTTTACTGGACAACACGAAAGGAACGAGTTACTAGATCGGTATCAACAAGCGGACTGTGCCGCCCGCCCAACTTTTGACGCTGGTAGAAGCGCATACGTCAATCCGCCCTGCTTCAAAGTTTCCAACATAACATTACATGTAATAATAGTCATTACGACATTCGTCTTCAGCTTGCTATAGATCGATTCCGGATGTAATATTTCATTGCTAACACTAAACGAAAATAAAACTTAAGAAAATCAAACATTTCCGTAGAGATAATGAATTAATGTTGGTGTCAGATTTCTAAGAGATTTTTAATTTTAATAGGCGTCTATCTTCATTTTTAATCGTATCAAAATATGTATAGTTAAGATAACAACTACCATAAATTTTAAATCCAGATTTTTTTTTAATTTGTAGGCTTTTATTCGATGGTTTAAAATAAAAAGTCTTTTGACAATTATATGGATTTACTCACATATAAGTAGCAAACCTTATTTCGCGTTTGTTTAAAAAAATACGCAATCTGTGCTCATTTTTAAATTTAGAATTTTTTCCATCGCATTGCATCTTCCGGCCTCTTGATTTATTGATCTATAATAATAGTCTGTTTATTTTGATATTAAACTAATCGTGATTTAATAAATTTTACGAAGTTAGCATATTATATATATTATATAAGAATGACTAGTGCGTCGATTAATTAAAAAAATATTGTCATCAATTTCATTTTTCTTTATAATAAATAAAGTTTATTAAACTGTTAATATACCCCGTTAGGAATTGAATTTTATCCCTTCTTTATATAATGTTTGCAATTAAAAATGCAAGAATATTAAAAAAAATCACAGTCCCGTTTCTTCTGCGTTGATGAACACATACCATGACATGTTTAATAAATTTGTTCTGAGGTTCGGACATATAGTTTCTTTTATATTTGATGGATAATGATTTGTTACATAGTAATATAAACTGATGTATTTTTGCCAAGACTTTACTTTCAGCACGCATTCGTGAACATACATAACAACAACCTATAAACTTTTTATATGTTGAAACGATCGTAAAATCATCCTACGTCTATGCACACACATTTAGTGTATGGGTGTAAGTAATAAAGTATGACATAGACAAGGATTATATCTCTTAAAACATTTTCATATTTCAAATTGCTAAACGTGTTCTAAATATAAATGACATTCGTTAATTCACTCTTAAAGTCAAGCCATAAATATAATCGGATTATGCATTTAGAGAACGATAAAATAATTTTATTTTGTACGAACTACTAGAGCTAATAATATCGAGGTCGATAAAAAGAATCTTATATATATCTTAGTTTATCGAATTAAAATTATCAATTATTTGTTCTTCTCGTTCAATTTTGCTTTCGCAACTGGTATCATATTGATTAGGCCGTTTATATATCTAATAGTTTTAATTGCTATGAGTCATCGTATCGTAAAAAAGCGCATTAAAAGGTAATTATGGATAAAAGTAAAATCTCGTATATTAGTTATTAAAACTACTTTAAATGACCGTCAACAAAAAATGTGCATTTTGTTTTTATTTCAAATTTACAATAACATTTTATACAATTAAAAATAATAAAGAACTCTGCTGCACTTAAATTTTTACCATAATGCCGTAATGCCGATACAGTTTTTATAAATAATACATATGAAATACATTAAATCCCTGATGAATTTTACGGTTCGCATTTTTTCCTTTCCTATGAGTGATAGTATGTTTTTATAAAATTCCAGTGTGCCGGCAAGCGCGAGCCAGAAAAAGAAATCGAAGCACAGAGATGGATTGAAGCTGTGATTGGTGAACGGTTTCCATCTGATCTACCCTACGAGCTGGCATTACGCGACGGCATCATTCTTTGCAAGCTGATGAACAGGTTGCAACCAGGGATCATTTCGAAGGTCAACGTTTCCGGTGGGGACTATAAACTTATGGACAATATAAGCCAGTAAGTAAACGAATATACCTTTATATTTTGCCCAAAGGTCAATACCGAAAATGTGGCTTGATTTTTGTTAAGTTTACTATTAAAAAAGTACTTGTAGTGGTTATTATAACAATGTTTTATAACATATTTTTTTAATTTTAATATATGACACGCGACAACTGTGCTAATGAAAGGCGCATACAATTATATAATCCATCAGAAATATACTCTTTCACCGGTAAGGTAGATTTACTGAGGCCGCAAGAACATGATCATTGATCACCTACTTGCTAAAACACGAAATGAACCAAGAAACAGACATTAAAATGTGGCTGCTCTGTTCCGGTTATCTTCAATATTATATTTGCAAATTCCAACACTATTCTAATAATAATATATTTATGACTGTATACTTAAAGGTAATGAAGACCAAAATATTTTCATATTACAGATTCCAAAAAGCTTGCATAAAGTATGGAGTACCAGATGTTGACCTTTTCCAGACGACCGATCTTTGGGACCAGAAGAATATTGCGCTTGTAACTCAAACTGTTTTCGCCGTCGGCAGAACGGTAAATGGATGTTATATTTTAATATATGGTCACGGCGGCAATTGAAAATAAGTATATAATAGCTTTTCGATTAAGAATATTTCTAAGTTATTAAAACACGAACGATTTCCAGCAAAGTAATTTTAATTAAGTAACAATTCGAGGTTTAAAACAAATTCTATTTTTATTCACAAGCTTGCATTTGTAAAACTTAAATGTTAAATAAATAATAATCGATTTCTGATTTTTGCTAGATAATAAAAGTCAAGAGTTAAAATGAACAGAGTTCCTTGGTAAGTTCGCTTACTAAAGGTACATGCGCGAAAGAGTCTCGCACATTATACCTACCCGGTACTGTATATTGTTAATACTTAACAACCGGACTCACCCATTGAATAAATAAATGCTTTAAAGAATATTTATAAAACGACGGTTATTAATATCAAATTTTGTTTTATGTGCCAAAAATGTTCAAAGAATTCTAAAAAAATCCTATTTTCAGGCCTACAAACACCCCGAATGGCGCGGCCCATTCCTAGGCCCCAAGCCAGCTGAAGAAAATCGACGTGAATTCAGCGAAGACGTTCTTCGTGCCGGAAATACTGTCATCGGCCTACAAGCTGGAACAAACAAACTAGCTTCGCAGTCCGGACAAAGCTTTGGCGCCTCTCGTAAAATTATTCTTGGAAAGTAATCTGTGGTTATTTTGTACTCGGTCTATCATCTGTGGTTTTTTATGTTTTTCGTAATTACAATTTTCTTTGAATTTAATAGTTGTTTTATAAGAAATACTCAAGTTTACTTACAGATATATATAAATAAATACTATATACTAAAACTAATGTTCCTAGATCCTAAATCAATGAAGTTAAAAGTGCTACCAAAGATTACTTCTATTTTATATCTAGTATTTATTAGTAAAATGTGATCTCTGTGACATAATTTTATATGTTTTGATTATCCAAATTTAACGTAAGAAAATTTGCTGTAATAAATAATAGATTATACCATTGTGTATGTATCGTGTATATTATATATGTTTTAGACAGAAGTTCTGAATACTAAGATAATATATAATTATCCGTAGATTGTTTATGGAGCGCGTCATTAAAAAAATCTTTAGTTTGAAATAGTTATGAGCGCCACTGCAAAACTATTTATGCAGATTTATACTAGACCTATATATATTTTATTTGATGTAGGTATTGTGAATTTTAAAAATAAAGATAAATGATAATTTACCTCTTTACATTTAACAAACCCTTTTTATAATAACAATCCCATTAATCTATACAATATATGCCAAACCATATATTTACAATTCAAGAAGTTAGAACCTACCTTTACACACCTACAACTAATTAAAACTTATTATATAATAAAAATTAGTATGTAACGCCATCTATATCTTCGCAAAGTAAACTGAAGAATTATCACATTGGCTTGTCGCGGGAAGGATGACCTATAATTGGTAAACCCTACATATTTTAAGCTAGATGGCGTTCAAATACATGTAAATCTAGTGCAGCTGTTGGTTGTCAATTTATAATACACAAGACCAAAATATATAAATAGGTAGTGATGTGCCTCAGCTTTATAATATCATAATCGAAAGTTCGATACTCTTTTTACCTATTCACATTATTCATTGTTTGTGAATTGTATTTGAAGCAGAATAAAAAGCTAAAAGATAATAACTGAATATTGTGTCTTTTTTGATAGGATGAAGTATTTTCGTTATATTTAATACTTGAGTGGTGATTAGTAAAAAAATTAAAAGAATATACATCGTAAATACACTTTGTGTATGGTGTGGTGTACTGTTGTGGTTGTCAAAATTAATATCGAGAATTGAACAGATCTGGTATTAATTAATAAAGATAACACAATGCTTTGGTTATGTAAATCTAAACACACTAATATAATTTTGACACCACAATAATTAAAAAATTCTATGATTAGTTTTTGTTTTTACAAACTTCTCTATTCGATTATAATTGTATTCGGACTTCGGTTAACGTTTGTAAAGAATTTTTGATTTACTATAATTGACGATTGCTTTTGTAGATAACAGATATTGAGCACAACACTAATGTTAAATAACAATTCAAGTTGGTTGTTGGTTCGTCTTGCGTGCTTACTACAAGTTTTTATTTATTTGGTATAATATTTGGTAGAGTTTAATATACGCAAAATTGTAAAACTGCCCAAATGTTTCGTAAACAAATGGAAAAATGATAACATTCGGAAATCCTAACGCTTCAAATGCGGAGGAGTCAGGTACGAAATGTCGAAATTTTTTACGTTGTGCGTCGAAATTAAACTATTTTTGTAACTAAATTAATATTTTAGGTGAAGTAAGAAGTATTTGTGAAAGTGTATGCAGTGATGGGTCAAATGCTACTGTACAAGCTGGGTCTTCCAATCAAAGGCCTAAAATGGACATTGCATGTGTTTTGGATGTTACCCAAACATTACACTTGGCGCATAGAAAAAGAGCATTAGAGGAAGTTAGATTGGCTTCAGACCTTGTCAATGCAAATCTACATCATATACATGTATGTATTGTTCATAATATTTAAGGGGGTTACTCTAAATATAAAGTAACATACAATAAACTGAATTGTATATGTTATCTTTTTTACTGTAGTCCAAAAACTCTACAGTATGGCTGAGTTATTTATGGGTGTTTCACATATCATATATACATTAAAGGAATCTATTTAAATTGAAATATTAATCAAATTTAACATAGGATGGGTAAAGTGAAAAATAAATAATAATATTTTGTAAAAATTAAACTATTCCTTTGTCGACACCTTATTAGAGGGACTTTAGAGATTGTAGATATGTTTGGATCTTAATAAAAAATAATATGTCAAGAACTGGTAACAATTTAGGCTAAGCTAAATTGTATGTAAAGTTTTCTTGTTTTAGTTTGAAAAACTTGATTTTGGTGAAACAAGTGTATTGGATACTTTCTACAATGCTGATGTGGTACTTGTGGATCTCAGTGTTCAAGTGCAACAGAGTGCATTGCTGTATCATCTTGGTGTTAGAGAGAGTTTTGATATGAAGGAGAATGTATTGCTTTATAATGATATTGATCCTGACGCTACACTTCGTATTAAGGTAAGAATAGAATAGAGTTAAAAGCAAAGGAATTCCCTGTAACTCTTCCTTTTATTTATGTATTTTCAAATGTAACTAGTGATAATTTGATTAATATGTTTCACATTTATTGCAGATTAGTATCTATACAATGCTATGCTCAAAACTCAAATTTGTCACTACAACATTTACTGTCTGATAATGTACAAGGTACATAACCATGTACATTTTAGACAAAAAACAATGAACTAATTATGTAAATAGATTGGATACAAATGTATTAATTTATAATGAGAATTTTATTAAAACATGATGTTGCTATCTATTTCCTCTTCTGCTCAATACAATATTTTTGGAAAAATCTATATTTTATTCATGTTTAAATTTGATTGCAAACAATTAATTAATAATAGGTTGACAGTGAACATTACCACTGTCACTGTAGTCAACCGTGTCAACCGTAGGGTTAAATATGTGTATTAAGTTTCAATACTACAATTAGTGTATGCCTTGGGATCCTTATAAATGTTTCTATTGTTAGTCTTACCTCTTTAAGCGAGAAGGTCACATTTCAAATATTGATGGCAGAAGCAAATCCTCTAACATAAATGCCAAATCATTATTACATGAAGTATTTAGTTAAACTGGTCATTTGAAATAGTATTTCGATTGTAGTCCTGTATAAATCTTCTAGATTGGGGAGGGGAGGGGTATTTTTTGTATGAGACTTTTTCCCAGACATATTTTTAAATAGGTAGTATATATAAACTTACCTGTGATTTCATTGAATTAGTACTACAAGCTCTGATCTACATTGATTACCTAGGCATTGTGAGCATGTCAAGGTCAATTATGAACAGCACTGTGCCTATTGTGATTTAAATAGATTCTCAACACTAGATTCTCTATGCTTTTATAGGAGTTGGCTTTTGTTAGTTTAACAATACTAAATATACATCTACTTTAAAATAATATCTTCTACTACACATTGCAGCTAAAAGTAAGTGACAGTCACTTACTTTTAGCCAATTAAATTAATTTATACGAAATCGAAATACTTTAAGAGCAGTGTTGGCCTAGTGGCTTCAGCGTGCGACTCCCATCCCTGAGGTCGTAGGTTCGATCCCCGTGCACCAAAAAGTCGACGGCGTGTGTCAGGCACTGTAGGCTGATCACCTACTTGCCTATTAGATTGACAAATTTTCTTGAAACAGATACAGAAATCCGAGGCCCAGGCCTAAAAAGGTTGTAGCACCATTTTTTAAGAGAACTCAAGTTAAAATATAGTCTTGAATTCTGTTAATACTTCTTTTATATAAATCTTTACAACAGATTAAAATGTTCAACCATTTGTTTTAATTTATAAAAAGTGTTCCGACCTTTAGCATGCTTGTTTACAACCAAAAAATAAACCAATATTGTGATAATAGAATGCGTTATTTCTGAAGCGAATGTTATGTACATTTAATTGATTTTACAGATATCATTACCGAATTTCCTTTTCGTGTCATACAAGCTGACCGATGCGGGCATATGTGTTACAACCAATCCGGCAGCGACGAAATTCAAGGGGGAGGAGACAGCTGATCCAAAACAACACCTCACCTTGAGATTAAAGAATATATTACAAGACGTAGAAGTGCAAACAAAGTAGGTATTCAAACAATAGGTCGTATAAAGTTTCAGGACATATTACACTATATTTCATATTGTTTAAGGATTATGTAAAATATATTTTTAACTTTTAATGAAGACTTTACATGACGTTATATGAGTAACAATACCTTTTCTACGTTTATTTACGACTAGCTTCGCAGCTTCACCCTGTATCGTGTGACCTCAACAATAATCCATATATATCGGTGAAACCCGTACAAATCCGTTGTAGTTTTTAAGTTTATGTCATACAGACCATACGCCATATCGATTCATAGGCCGGTTGACTTTTATGAAATGTAAGGATTATAACTATCTGACTCTCATTTAGAGTCAACGCTATCTCTATTTATAGTAAAGCTTTTAATAAGATAATGTCTTTCTGCCCTTATTTAAATTGGTTGTTAATCGATCCATCTCGTAGTATAGGTTCGGTGAACGTAAAAATTCTTAATTAGGTTATGTAACTTACAAATCTAATATTAATAAACTCAGCAGTGATTAAACGCCCAAATCTCAGGAACTACTTTGTGTTAATTAGTTGTTGGAGTTTAATACCGAGCAAGGCTGCATTTAAAATCACATTACAAACTGAATTATCGAACTATCGAATTATTATTACAAGGCCGGCAACGCACTTGCGAGCCCTCTGGAAATGTGAGCCTCCTGCCCGTTTGACCTCAGTTTTATAAAAAAACGTAGGTAAAACTGGGGGGGTGCTGGTTAAGTAAATGTTCAAGGAAAACTCGATATTGCATGTTACATGAATATTAAATGCAGATTTCAGCCCACATTCAACGTGCTCATGATATTGTCATTTTAATGATGTTTAGTCATATCTAGAACAATCTAATTACAATTTTGCTTTAAAAACAGCAATTTCGTAATTTCATATACTCTAGTGTTCCCAAAGTCCCAAGGGGGAGA